GGTGACTCATGTGACCATTTATCAAGACTTTCCTCCCCAAGATCTTTTTCAAAGGATTGAAGATGTAATAATTCCTTCATGGGAAATACAGGATTGTCAAAAATGGATGGAGGATGAAACGAAACAAGAAGAGGAAGTCCAGGCTTGGCTTAAGCTAAGAATATCCACTCTGTTACCCTGCGAGACACCATCAAGGTGGGGATACATGGTACAATAATTTGATTTTCTATCACAAATACAGAACTACATAGGTGAACTACACAGGTTTCTTTTAGATTCTTATATGGCACTTATCAGTGTAGTGTTTGATTGCACAGTTTTGTGCATATGGAAATGAGACTACCATACAACCAATGAAAAAATGCATAAGCTGATGCACAGTAGGAGTATTTTTCAGGTCTTAGAAAACTACCTAATTAAATTATAAAGAAAAGCAACAGAGCTAGGTTAAACAATATTATTAATATGGCAACAGGGTTTGCATTTTCAAATGGTGAAGCAACAAGCCACTACAATTAATCACAAACAATAATTACTGGTACCAAAAGAGCAGCAATTAATATGAGCAGTGTTCCAACAGTTTGAGATCCTTGTTTGTGCTGTATACATATATTGAAAGTTTTCAGCTAAATTTTAGTGCAGTTTTTTGTTAATATGCTCACCAAACAACATTTTTAGGACTCAGATTAGGTTTTGACCATTTGAGCAGTTTCAAATGTGTAGCTGTGATTAGATTTCATAATATCTGTTGATGGATGAGACTAGATATATACAAAATATGTGATATATCTAACTATTATTGAGCAGTTGAAGCATACCATTCTGTGAATGTGCATGGTCTTTTACAGACCATAGACTATAAGCGTTTGCAATTAACAGATTCTTTGTTATTTTCCTTTCTGTCAAGTCAGGGATTAATAACTCAAGATCACATGTTTTCAGTTTACAGCATGCTACAAGAGTAGGCTAATGTCTCTCACCTTTGTTATTTGCATGGCCTTATAACTATTGGCTAACAAAATTCACAAAGAATAAGACATCAGTAGGATCACTTATGACACACACAAAAAATCCCTCTCTACAGGTTATATTTTATCCTATTTTACAAACAACTGTCTCTATACCAAGTTTACTTAGCCCCAAAAGGGACTATCTGAAGTCATACAATGAATGAAACCAAAACTGAAGCTATGAATTATATGGGCAGGAAAAGGCTATAAAGATGCCTACAGATTAGGAACTATACTTAAACGTAGCAGGAGGCCCATGCCTCAGGCATCTAGCTCAAATTTTCAAAGAATCTGAGGTTCAAAACCTGAAAGTTTATGAAAATTGTATGGAATGAACTGATGATGACCCAATCAACACAGTTTGAGGGGAGAAAGGGACCTGTTGGGTTCCAGGAAATGGACGGGCACAAGCCTGCCCACAGCTAAAGGCTCCTCCGCAGCCTAAGGGGAGGGGCCATTGAGCGCAGGACTCAAATAAGTATGGGGGACAACAAAAAAGAAAGCAAGGACAAGTGTGAAGGTCAAAGAGTCAAAAGTAGGGAACCTGAAAGGGACACCGAGCAGAGATTGAGGGGAGAAAAGGTGTCTGGAAAGCTGGACGGGAGAATAGGAAGGTTCAGGTTAAGAGGCAGCAGTTGGGCAAAGTCTGACCGCAAAGGTTGCTGTCTCAAAGTTTTATGACTCCTAGGAGTAGGTATAAGTTGCCTTTTATGGGGGAAGAGGGTCACTAAACCTACCAAGGGAACTTGGACTTTGCAGTGTACGCACTATGTTTATAGAACTGGTTGAGAACAGCACCTGCTCACACAACTGAAAGGTTTGTTTGTTTTTAAAAAAAACAAATATCAGTTCACATGACAACACCCACTAACAGAAGGCCTCCATTCAATAAAGGTGGGACCTATTGAGGAAGGGAAATAGGAAGCGATAACACACTATACAAAGGAATGTGGCAATAAGTAAAGCTGGTTGGACAAAGCAAACAGCTGAGGTACGTGGGGTATGAGTTACTTAGAGCAAGTCTACACTACTGCTTAAGTGGCTCTAACTTACATCATTCAGGGTGTGAAAAAGTCCCTCCTCCCCCGCAAGCAATGCAAATTTTGTGCTGTCCACACCGGCACTATGTCAACTGCAGATGCTCTCCTGCCAACATAGCTTCCACTTCTCTCTGAGATGGAGTAATTAAGCCAATGGGAGAGCGCTCTCCTGTCGGCATAGTGTGTCTTCACCAGACACCCTACAGCGGCACAGTTGCATCGGTGCAGCTTCAGCAATGTAGCACTGTACTGTAGACTTGCCCTTAGAAACTACAAGTCTACAGTTTTCATCAGAGAAAGTAGTAAAGAATTGTTAAACACTTGAATTTCCCTTCTGGTGTGTAATGAAACAATATGTTTACTGAATTAACTAAGATTGTTTATGGACAGCAACAGGTATCTCATGCCTAATATTGGCTTGGACTTGTCAGAGTCTGTTCTAGGTTATTTGATAGAATTGCCTTGGTGCATACTATTTGCCCCTTATACAGTAAGGCAAAGTAGCCTGTCATGAGACAACAGGGTCCACAATTCAACAGGCAGTCTGATTTGCATTCTCCTTTCTCTGTTTGGCAGGTCAAGAAACATTGCATTGCATTCTGTGAAAGGGCCACAGAGGGGCTAATGAGTGGTGTATTTCACTGAGAGGTGGAAATCCAGATAGCTGCTGCTCTTGGACAGGTCTAATTGACATTAGATTCAATTGATAAGGAAGAAATTGGGAAAACTGAAAAACAGAGCCTGGTGATCCTTTAGAGTAACATGGTCTGGTCTGAAGATGCGAGTGACATTCTCCATGATCCTGCAATCAAAGCAGCTAAAAAAGCTAGGTGGAAATTCTATTGTAACAAACTTATCTGTATTTAAATTCTTCAAGGAGATCAATGTTTTAAAAAAAGTCTCCAAAACACATCATTAGCTGCAGTATATTCCATGTTCAATACAGAGACACCCAGTAACAGGACCTTGTCATCAGGTAGGCTTTAAAGCAGGGGTAGACAACTTATGGCACGCGAGCTGATTTTCAGTGGCACTCACACTGCCTGGGTCCTGGCCACCGGTCCGGGGGACTCTGCATTTTAATTTAATTTTAAATGAAGCTTCTTAAACCTTTTAAAAACCTTATTTACTTTACATACAACAATAGTTTAGTTATATATTAAAGACTTATAGAACGAGACCTTCTAAAAACATTAAAATGTATTACTGGCACGCGAAACCTTAAATTAGAGTGAATAAATGAAGACTCGGCACACCACTTCTGAAAGGTTGCCGACCCCTGCTTTAAAGTGTAATGGCAGTATTTGTTTCTCAAATCTAAGGCTATATCTATGCTAGCACTTTTGTCGGACTAAATTATGTCACTCAGGGGTGTGAAAAAAACGACCCTGAGTGATATAATTTACATCGATAGAAACACCAGTGTGGACAGCGCTATGTTGGTAAGAGACGCTCTCCTGCTGACATAGCTACTGTCGCTCGTTGGGGGTGGTTTAATTATGTTGATGGGAGAGGTCTCTCCTGTCAGCACAGAGCAGCTAAATGGGACATCTTAAAGTGGCGCAGCTACATCAGTACAGCTGTGCCACTGTAAGGTCTCTTGAGTGTAGCCCTGGCCTAAGTGGGAGAGGTAGAGCATCACTAGTTTAAAAAGAGGTCAAAAATTGCTAGGGAGCTGAAAAGTATTACTCTCTGAACCTTTTTTTCCTTCCTTTCCTCCCCACCCTCTCCTCCCAACCTCCATGGCTGGAAGGGTATTAACAGGCCACTTCAACTTGAATGGTCCCTTGAAATATGTGTTAACTATTTATGCTAAACAATCTGTTCCACGTTGTATTTAGCTGTGACACTCTGAGTACATTTCCCAGACCTGAGGAAGAGCTCTGTGTAGGCTTGAAAGCTGGTCCAATAAAAGATATTACCTCACTCACCTTGTCTCTCTCTGAACTTGGCACACTGCTGCTGGGTGTTGGGGAAGTGATCTATATTTCATGCCCTACCCACTTTTCAACTGAATTTGTTTTGTAATGTTTTACAGTTTATTTTACTAAAGTCAAGAGTAATTTTATCTCATCACTGTTTTTATTACATCCAGCACCAGTTATAACAATATCTTGGCTATTAGTTAATGCCAGAACATGATTTTTAATCAGTGAAAACAAAGGCTTAAATGCAGGCTTTAATGAAATCAAGACCAGGGTATGTGGGACAGAAATTTTATCCAATTTGTTGGGATTTTTTTTAAACAAAATAAAAGAAAGATGCAACTAAAAGCTTATTGGCTCTTAACTTCTACCGTTACTGATTTTGGCATGATGTGCAAAATAGAACAGTCTCGCAATTTTTTAAACAGAGTTGCATCTTAGCTTTTCTGAAAGTATTATAAGGTATTTTTCATACCATCAACAGTGATAATTCTTGCAGGAGAGCTAAGAAAAGGGGTTAGAAAGATTATGCAAGTAGTATATGATATCATGAGTTAAAACAAATCCTGTCTGAGAAATTCCAATCAAAAAGGGTCACAGATCACAGAACACAATACTCTTTGTACTCTTCTGCAATCTCTCCTGAGTGGACCCTTCCTGGTGATAAGTCCTGGGCCTCTGCTTCATTAAAGGGGGAGTCCTGTGACTCTGCCACTCTCAGACTGGGTCCCTAGGCATCAGCATCCCTGTTTCACACTGCGGCTCCTGCAGCAGGGACAGGTTTGGTTCCCTGAAAGTCTTCTTTCTTTAGAATCACAGAATTGTAGGACTGGAAAGGATCTCGAGAGGTCATCTAGTCCAGTCCCCTGCACTCATGGCAGGCCTAAGTATTTGGGAGCTTAGTACCCAGAAAATGTATGGAGTGACACACTTCAGACTTTTCAGAAAAAATGTATGATGTATCAACAGGAACACAGGAGTCAGATATGGGTTGAAGTAATTAAGGCTGTACACATGAATCTTACCTGACTTTTTAGCTTCTCCATGCTTAGTTAAGCAGGCTCTGCTTTAGATCATTGCCTCTCTTCCTAGTCGCCTGGGTGGAGAACTCTGAGCAGGAGTTAACCCTTTGAGTCCCTGTACAAAAATAGGTAGGTAAACTGAGCCACACATTCATTAAAAATAATAATAATCTTCCAAGCTTTCTACAGAAGTTAAACCTTACACTAGCAAAATCCCTAGAAATACCCTACCAGAAGACAACTGAACATTTCCAGTAGTTACATATCAGTGTAATCAGGGGATTCAGGTTGGCAGCTGAATAATAAAGTTACCTTACTCCAGGGGTCTTTGAATAACAACATATCTGGGCCAGGAATTTAGACTCTAATTGCACAGTCATTACAACTGTTAACGTGTTATTTTAATTTCTTTAGATTCCTTTCTATGCCTGTTTTCCATTTATTATTACTGTAAAAATCCACAAAAACACACTTATCGATCTGTTATATGCATGACACAAATACCAAAACCTCAAGAAGAGGTTTTTAAGCAATGAAACATTAGCCCAACTAGTCAAGATAAAATTAAATGAAGCTAAGGCTAACAAATACTCTGAATGCAAAATCTTGTGAAACTAATGGGTTTTGTTTTTGTTTTGTTACTGTCTAGATGGGGCCACCCAATACATGTATAGATAAGTATAAGTTTCACCAAATTTGTATAGTAGGGAACAGAGATGGAGTTAGGTCCTTTGGGTAAGTCTCACTGAAGATATATTTGAAACCTTCATTGTTAAGTGTGAAACTTTCAGGAATCAGAATGCGACATTCTTGAAGCTAGGTTTTTATTATTGACCACCACCTAGAGGCGATCAGAAAGAACCCTAGCCTGAATATTTCCAGAGTCTGATACAAAATCACCTTTATGCAGCAGCTTATCAGCAATAATTGCTAATGAAGAACATCAATATGGACAAAGGGATGGAAGGCTGTGCAAAGTGTGACAAAAAGGCCACATGTGGCTTGCAGGGTCATGAAACAGAGCCTGAGCAATGGAGGCTCTCTCCCTATCACATATGGTTACTGTAAGGTGAAGGCAAAACTAATCAACTACAGTATATGATTTTATTGCTAATGAATAGAAATTACTTGGTTGAGCTCCTATATCAAGGGAAATACAAGTGCAGGTAAACAACATAATAGAGTGCATTGATTTTTATTTAAAACATATGTAACTTTACAGGCAAATTAGGAGAGGCCCTCAGTTCCTCTGGCTGCATAAAAAAAGGCATGCAGAGAAAGTTCCCAAGGTGCCAAAGAGTAAAAACAAAATACTTAAGCTTGACAGATGGAGACATCTGCTCTACTGCTGACATTTCACTTCTTTGAAGATTCAAGTACCAAGGATCAATGTAAGTTTGTGAAAACCATAAACACAAAGACAGATCAATTACTGACAATTTTAGCATCAGCTAAAGTAAGAGCGAGTGAGAGATATTTCATAGTCTAGCATAAAATGTAAGCAATATGAAGGGGTGGGGATGCTGAGTGGGCATACTGTAGTGCAGAAAAGCACCATCTATTTAGGATCAGAAACTTTAGTCTAAAACAGCTGTAAATAATAGCTTTGTGGAGTAGAAGCATGGGCTTCTAGAGAACCGTGAATGGATGAGGGATAGGGGAGCACTAGGACTTAGGTCTCGCAAGGAAGCCATGGATACTATTACAAGCATGGAGAAAATTACTACTTGAGTTTCTGAACCTGGAAATTAAAGATGACAGAAAGTGCTATATATAACATTTCTATATGACCTCAATAAGCAAAACTCACAGTGGGAGCTCTGTGTCCTGTAACCAGGGTGGGATTTACCATATTTCTGTGTGCCCTATAGAGTTCAGGGGTTCATATAATTGCAGTCCAACTTGCAACAGTGACTCCTGGACCACTACCCGGGCCCCAGGCCTTCTGACTGGAGTACAGGCTTTAGCTCCAATTGCCATAGCAACAAGAGCTCACCTGTTTTGAAAGTAGCCTGCCAGGGTTAGAGTAGGTGCTACAGCCTCAGCGTCACACTCAGCCTTAATGATTGCAGAGGTATCTGCACCCTATCACTGCTTTGTGCCCCTCCATTCCATCCTATCACTGGAGTCCATTACCTGTTGCAATGAGCCCACCACCTCGTGTGTGTTAGAAATTAGTCCTTGAATGAAGGAGGGGAGGTCTCTGTGGGAGAGGTCTGATGGTGGGATTTTATAGTATTAGACTGTTTGCAGTAGAGTTATTTAACCAGACTCTCTTTTCAGCTTTTCTACTCCCTTGTTAGTTTAAATGAAGCCATTCAGGGTGGACTGTTCACATTCTGTGATTTTACTATCCTGTGCTTCATGGACCCCTTGGATTGCAGGCATTGCTCCCATTAGTTAAGTGGGTTATGCTGGGTTTGCCTGCTAAGGACTAAAGGCTGTGCTCATGTGGTGAAGGTTGTTTCCTGAGTTGGAGGAATCTCTTTTTTTATTCTTGTGCCACACTTCTCCTCCTGGCTAGTAGAACCACGTCTCCTGGTTAATGTCCGAGAACTGCTGCCCACAAACTGGCACACCTGCCCAGGCAAAGAGGTGACGTCATGTCCCTCTACAGGACACATGGCGGTGACTTTAAGAATGGCAGAGACTGAGAGACAAAAGCTAGGGTTGTGTATTGTATAGGGGAAGAATGAGAGCAAGCTAGTGTTACACTGTTTTAAAGAGATTTTTTTCCAAATTGAGTCTGCCTCCCAGGTCAAAGAAGGAACCCCTGCTTAGTTATAAAGCCTTTAAATATGCGACCGCTGATGACAACCGTTGTAACGGTGAGGGCTGTATGATTACAAAAGTTAAATTCTTGGGCACTTTTGTGAATTGTGATGAATCAACAAAGCAGAGAACTACAGTTCCCATCAGCCCCATCCCAACTGCAGTTCCCTTGGCCAGGTAAGGAGACAGGTCCTGAAACAGGACGTGGCTGACTGCATTTGGGACGGGAGTGGAGTGGGAGCCTCATGGCAGCAAGAAGCTGGAGAGAAGCCTGAGGAAGTGGACTGGACAGAGCCACATGTGGAGCAGGCTGTGGCTGTCAGATGATACAGCTGGATACAGGTCATTATGGGACTTATTGGGAAGCAACAGTTGGATAGGGAGTTCAATGAGAGACACTAACTGAGCCTGGCCTGGAACACTGCAAGTGCCTACTTGCTGAAATAGAGCCTGGACTGCAGAGGGCGCCCCAGGCACTAGGCCTGACGAGCCCTGACTCTTGCTTTGGACATTGCCAGGAGCTCAAACAATAACTGCTATCACTCACTTTGAACTGTAACTGTCTTAGCCCTTGTCTACACTGCCATTTTACAGCACTGAACCTTTCTTGCTCAGGGGTGTGAAAAAACACGCTTCTCACGCTGGAAACTACTCCCCTCACGGGGGTGGGAGAGCGCTCTCCCAGCGCTGGTGCCGTGACTACACAGCCATGTTAAAGCACTGCCGCAGCAGTACTTTAACATTGCTAGTGAAGACATACCTTTAGCCATAGGCGCCGACTTCCCCTCTTTCCCGTGGGTGCTCGACCCCACTCCACCCCTTCCATGAGGCCCCACCTGTTCTCCGCCCCCATTCCAACTCCTTCCCCAAATCCCCGCCCCGGACGCGCCTCTTCCCTGCCTCCTCTCCTGAATGCGCCACGTTCCCGCTCCTCCCCACTTCCCCTTCAGGAGAGTGCTAATGCTGCCAAACAGCTGTTTGGTGGCAGCTGGGTAGGAAATGCTGGGAGGTAGGCGGAGGAGCGGGGACACGGCCCGCTAAGAGTGAGGGAGGCAGGGAGCTTGGCTGCCAGGGGGTGCAGAACACCCATTAATATTTCCCCGTAGGTGCTCCACCCACAGAGTCGGCGCCTATGCCCTTAGCCTCTGTACCTAGAGTATCTACAACTTTTCCTTTTCCTACCAGCCCTAGGAAAACACCCTTTCCCTTAGCCATGTGTCTCAGTGGTTATGGGGATGCACTAAGGTTAGTGTCTACAAGGCCACCCTGATAAGGCACCTACTGTGCTTGTCTCCAAGTTGCAGTACACCTGGCATTCCTGTTGACATCCGAGGGTGTTGGTGTACTAGACAGCCATAATAATTTAAAGAAATATACTGTACATATATGCTTTAAGAGTGTAGAAATTACCTCTGAACATATGCTAACTTAAGTTCCATTTTCTTGGGAGAATGCTATTTTTTTTTCCTGAGAGGTGTGTTAAGATTGCTGAGGTCAATACACATACAAGAGGCTCTAGAGGTCAATACACATACAAGAGGCTCTACGCATACAACAAATAGACACACCCTTGCTTATTGAACTATAATATGGAACTATTCACAAGAACAGAAGCATGTTTCTAGGTCCCTGCTGGCTCATCTCTGTTAAAGGGACATGCCAAGTAACTTAACTATTTACTGAACTCTCAGATCTTGCAACAAAGACTGCTTCCCAGCATTTGAAGATAATTAAATGAGAGAAACCTGATGGGGATTTGGATTGTGAGAATATAACAATGCAATGTTGCAAAATTCTCTACTCCTTGTGAATATAAGGAAGCAGATATATTGGAGTACGGCAGGTCTTTTAAATGAAATCAAAGATGACTAAGATTATTAAATTCCCAGACAAAATCTTTAAGGAGAAGTTACATTACAGTAATTTAAGGATAAAAAACAAAACAAACCTTATGAGAATATTGTTACAATTAAAAAAAACAAAACTCAAGCATTAGAACCCAGCAATTCTGACTAATGATTAAACTTTAAAAAACCCTAAACATTTGAAAGCATGAAACTGCACAGTTAAGGTCACCCAAACAATCTTAAATCTGCCCTAAGAGACTCCAGTTTCCCATCTTTCCTTTGTTCCTGTAATATCTACTTTGGAAAATGCTCTTGATGCAAAAATAATATACCTTACAAAGACCTTAAGAAGTGTGCAGAGAAGCAATTGTTCTCGTAGAGTGATTGTACCTCTGCCATCCTCCCATTTTCCTTCACTGTCTCCCTCTCCCATCAGAAGGTCATTAGGCTGAAAGAAATGGTTACAGACATCTTAAATGTGGAGGAGACAATGTAC